AGTTGAAAGAGTTGTCATATAGGTAAAGGTCACTTTGTTACTTTTTTCTTAAGAAATTTATATGTAACATTAACGATGATCTTTTATCAAGACAGTTGACTTATGGATTAACAGACATTTCACCTGACCGCTATGAGAAACTTACAAGTATTTGACAAAAGGTGGATAGTAGAACAGTTTATTCAGCAATTTGGATTTATTGGATATGATCTTATAACGAGGTAACTAACATTATTTTTTTATTGTTTCTTTCTAAATATTAAATATAATGGAATACGCCAATAATATAGATTAAGAATGCTGTAATTTACGACTCCCGAAAATAATTTCGACGCTTTAAATGGACACCAAAATCAATTACGCATAGCATTTAGCCCCCATCTATACAGTGATAGTCGATATATTTTAAAGAAGCTAATTAAAGAATTCATGAAATTGTGCTTGTTCATCGAGACATTAATAATGGAAACGCTTTGCAGCATTATGACTTCTAATTATTGGAGACTTTGGTTTATGTTGTCTAGCAAATAATCCAATGCCACTTGGCCATTAAGGTTAAATAGTTAGAAATAAGGGGATGGAATTCACCAAAGTAGCGATAATGTGATAATTTTATCAGGTTGTTTGCCACTCAATGGTAGTTTGGTATTTGACATTCGTAATGTAACAGACCAAAATAGTCGATGAAACTCTTGAATGCTATGCTGAACTCATGAAATAATGCTGGGATTCTGTTGTTCTAACAGACTGACTGCCAATTATCTGGCAACAATAATAGAGAATTATAAGTTGAGCTTTCATTTATGAGCAACATTAGTGCTAATAATACACGACAACGAGAACTCGATAGTTGATACTTCAAAATAAATTTTGAAATTGGGAGGAAACTATTTCTGATATGAAATCAATGAATAACAACAACAACAATTTAAATATGCAGATGAAAAGAGAACTAGCCGCTCAGAAGAAATAAATCATTCTACTCAGAACTTTATCGATAATACATAAAGAAGCTGTGTAGACATCTCAGCACCCCTTGCCGCCTTGAGACTCGTTTATAAAACTGCTAGTCACGTAATCGAAGCAGAATAACACTAAGCTCTCGGATTTTGTGTCATTAAATTGATATAAGTTTAAAAGCCGTAAATTCCAAAACAATCGATTTATCAAAAAATATACCACATTTTTAGAAATGACCAACATACGTACAGTGTTCATTGATCTAACATCCTTCACACGCATAAAGTTTTTCTCCGAAAAATACCGATACATGTAATTGTTGCCGCGATCGACGTTAATAAAACTACATGTAGAATGATATAATTATAGTAATAAAGTATTTTCTAACACTAAATAATCCTGGAATGTAATTACATATATTATCGTTATACTGTATCGGCGACATCGGTATTGAATTAAACGAAAGAGGATTAATTTTTGCATAAAACTTAGCAAAACTGGAATAGATATTCGTTTTTTCGTTTTGATCAACAATGTTAAACTTATCATTACGAGGAGAAACACGGTTTCAATTTTTTTGTCTATTCAAGGATAAAACTCATTTATTGTTTATTACTAGAATGAGTAATTAGTAAACAAGGGGAACTCTAGTGGCTGATAATCTTGTCTGTTGAAAAAGCAAAGTTCATAAAAACTGTCATGCAAAAATCGTTGAATGCAACAACAATATACCATTTTTTATGTAAATATAAATAGACCTCTGCTTTTTCGTTCGGACTCATCGCCAACAAATATTTCATTTTTACCCAAATCCCTCTTCTAAATTTTTTCTACTCACTTGCGTGAAAATTATTACTACTTTCTTTTACCTTCAATCCAATTTTCCCAATAAATCTTATTTCTCTCTGCAACGTAGAAGATGGTTTTACCATACAGCAGAAAATTTATTGCCGTTGCTGTGCTAGTTGTTACTCTTATCATTTCTTCGGTTGAACCGAAAGAAGGCACTGGTTGCCCTTCTAGTGCCGCTTCATTTAATGGCGCTAGGATAAAATACAATGTTATTCTCGTCGAACAACAAACTGAACAACATCTTACATGGTTAAGTGATTGTTACAATAGACCAAATACACATGTGACCTCAAATACTTTTTCAACAAAAAGCGAGGACAAGGATATGATCATAAATTTCTCCGTGCAGGGACTTGCTGGTTATCATGGTTGGTTTGATGCTAAATTTGTAGAAGACCAATTAAAAACCCGTTCAGATGTTCTCATTGTCGAGGCGGACGCTCCAGTGAAAATTAACGCTCCAGTAAAAATTAATAATGCTGCACCAGTGGATACTCAACTAAAGCCAAATCCCAATTTGGATCGCATAGATCAAGAAAAATTTCCTTTGGATAAAAAATACACCTTTCCAGCAAGTGCTGGAACTGGAGCCACTGTGTATGTCGTTGACACGTTAGTATTGTTTTTCTTTTATTATATCATTTATTACGTTTTATGCAACGTAGTATTCTTATTTTGCAAACTATTATTAGTGGTGTCAGGACCACTCATAATGAATTTGAAGACCGCGCTACTGCTGGAGGCGCCTTCTGTACTGGTTGTCCAAATACCGATGACAATGGGCATGGTACTCATGTAGCCGCAATTAGTGCTGGAAAAAATTTTGGTGTTGCAAAGAAAGCAAATATCGTCGGTGTCAAGGTTTTAGATGCTAATGGCACTGGACAAAATTCTTTTGTTATTGATGGTTTGACCTTTGTCCTTGACGACTTTAATAAGAAGAAGAACAAGGCTGTTGTCAAGTATGTGTAAATACTTGTGCATTGTAATGACACATACATAATTGAATTTTTATTTTATCTAATACCAAATGTGTTCCACTAATTTTCTAATTTTCGCTATATATAGCATGTCTCTTGGCGGAACTTTTTCTGCAGCCGTCAATGCAGCAGTAAAATCACTTACCACTGCCGGAGTCCACGTTGCTGTAGCTGCTGGTAATGATGGTGAAGATGCTTGTAAGAGTTCTCCCAGCTCAGAGCTATCCGCCATTACTGTCGGTGCTACAGAAAACAAAAATGATACTGTAACAGATTTCTCAAATATTGGTAAATGTGTTGATATTTTTGCTCCAGGTCGAGATATCCTTTCAGCTGGAATTAAAAATGATAAAGATACTCAGGTATTCTCCGGTACAAGTCAAGCTACACCTCATGTAGCCGGAACTGTTGCTTTAATTATGGGAGATACCGGAAATGTCTCACCAGATCAAATGGTTAAGAAGTTGCTTGATTTGTCAACAAAGGGTGTTATTCCTGCTGCTGGTTTAAAGGGTAGCCCAAACAATTTTGTGAGAGTTCCTTGCTAATAAAATAAGTTTTTACATAAAGACTGGTTCTGTTAATCTTGCTACCTTTTACTTGCCTAAACTGTACCTAGCGTCTTTCATTTATCGATCTTTGTTATACATCCACTTTTACAACAATAAATTCTCTAGTCAAGGTTAGACTTTCATCCATGCCATGTCAATTGGAGCCAAACACGATATCTCCACAAAAAACGTGCATCCTACAAGTTTAAAAAATAAATCAAATATTTATATTCATAAGCGTTTTTATGATCAATAAATTAGAGAGACACGTTATTCCACCTTTCAAGGAAAAACAAACATTTACATTGCTTATTTTTGTTTTTTGTATTTAGCATACAAATCAAGAATAATTCTTTTTATTATTTAAAAAATCGATGTACTATAGTCATACTCCATATAATCATACCCTCGGGACCAGAAAAAGTGCGAATTTAAAAAGGTTATGGCTGTATGGAGTTCAGATTTCATATCACTATGGGAAAAGTAAAGAGGATATGAGGTATGACTGTAATAATTATTGCATACATTTTGAATTCATGCATATAATTTCTCTATTTAAAACCGAAAACAAAAGCAAAGACGATAATAATAGATTCTTTTAAAACCTGTATATTTAGGGCTCTAGGTTGATACGATCAGTTCTGATTATGACATAATTTCTTCGTTATCTTATCAGTACGTCTTCTCAGGAACTATCTAATAAAAAAAAACACTCAATTTTTATAATTGATGTATTTTAATAAGTATGCTCAGCAATGAAATACACAGTCAAATCTTTTCAGCCGCCCCTCGTATTTTGAAAACTAACGTTTCAACCAATTTTAGTTTTATATTTTCTCGGTTCCACTTGTGTTGAGCATCTTTCTTGTTGTCTTTATAATAATAATAATAATTCGCAAGTGCAGTCAGAATGCAAGCATTCCACAATTGGTTAAGTCAATATACATAGGTCGCGGCTGGACTTACTCTACTTGCTACTGCTGATATAGAGATACTCTCGATTTTTTCATCGCGAATTGCCGGACTTCCTACGTTGGACGCTCCTGTTTCGGACGTTGTTCATTTTTGGGATTTAATCGGGACTTGCATCACATTCTTCATTAAGGGTGTACCGCAATTCGTTATTCAGGTATGCATAGCTTTGGTTTCTCATGCTGCAGTTGTGAATTTTCATTCTATAAGCAATCTACGATTGCGTACACAATAATCCCCTTGATTTTGCTTATCGTTATCACTAGCGCGTTGTTCTTAGTGATTAACTTGATCTCGAAGACTTACAGGATTATAACAAAGTGCAGCAAAGAGCCCAAGGTATAATGACACACTGCCACATTCTGCGGTCACACTGTCTCCTATTGTGAATCTTATCCCACAGTAGAGGAAAGGGTACTTAGTGCTAAGAAAAAACTATAATATCAATATTTATAGAAAAATTGTAACTGTCTAATTAGATATAAAATAAGAGATTTTCTTAATAAAGAATGGCAGTAGATTAACATAATGCCATATTTTTGAACATTGTGTTTTTTTAGGCACAAGTTATAAAGGTGTAGATTTCGAATAAAGCATCTAATTATTATATATGAATAAATTTGGGAATTTAGTGTCTATGAAAGTAAGGGAAAAAGAGTATGTCTGCATCACCAATTCTGTATTGCATGTGGATCTACGTAAAGATGGTCTCCGGTCTCGCACGTCCTACACGGTCGGTCTTACTATGATAAATGTAGGACCAAGATCGTGAACATAATAAAACCAAGGACTGTCGGTCTTTACACATCAGTCTTTTCTTATATAACAGCATACTTTCATTATTTTCGTTAGTCGTTAGATTGTTAAAACGAATTACGATTAGAAAATTAATCGTTGTTGATGACCACATACTTAAATCGGTCCCACTAAAAAGACTGGTCTGTCTTGTATCAAGACTGGACTACAAAGACTGCAGTCTTTTAGGACCGGTGACCATCGTAGAATTTCTATATCCAAATAAAACTGGTATAAATCGCATGGTAACCTGTATAAATCTTTCCGATTCAGAGTATGTATCGCTCTTATTTTGAGATAGACATACGCGCTTTGATGTATAAATGGGGACTTGCTCGAATTCATTCCTCGTGGTGCTATCAAACTAAAACAAACACTAATTTCCATAATGGGATTCTTCGACTTGCTACTTCAATAATTGAACGCTTGCCATTTTCCTAAATCAATTGATTGTTTACGTGAGTGTGTTGAGGTTTGCAGTTCTCACCCTATAGTTTCAAAAGATTTCAGACTGAAACCTTCCATTTCAATGTCTTTTGCTGGCGAAAATATTGAACACGACAAACAAGGGATCTAAATCACGTGTTAAAAACCTAATGGAAAGGCTGGAAGGTGAAGGGAATGTAATATAGGGACGTGTTGTTATATAATTTATTTATTGATTTGCCCGGAGGCCAAAAAGCAAATTTTACTCATTTGTTTTACCATTTATATCAAATTTTTATTGAAATTTGTTTTTGTTATATGTGTATAGCATAGTGGCGACTAATTCTCTCTGCTTTGGGAAACCAGTCTGAGAGAGTCTAGACATTTTCTCATGAAAAACATTACATACTTTACTCGGAAATTAAGCATCCTATGTTGCAGTCACCAGGAAATGACAGCACATCTTAATATTTGACCAATCTGCAAATACTGTGTTAGTTAAAGCAATCTGATATATCAGTGTTTGACTGTAATAATATTGGATTTTTTTCAGTAAAAGTGAAATTTAATTCATAAAGATAATACATGTACATGCACAGCCAACTCTCGTTAAACCGACCATATTTTTCTTGATTTAACGAGAGTTGACTATGTATCTTTAAATAAATAAATATAATATAGGTTAACAGTCACATATTTTACCTATATTATATATATTTAATTAAAATACATAGTTAACTCCCATTATATTGAAGCAAAATATAGTCGGTTTAACGAAAGTTGGCTGTGCATGTATACGTATATACATAATATCTTGAATTGAATGAATGAGAATCTATTCAAAGTCTTCATTCCTGATAGTAAACTTTTAAAAAAAAACTTTAAGATTTAGGCTTTTTATTTACTAATTTAATTAATATGATCTTATAAATATAAAAATATGTATTTGATAATAGTCAAATTTACGGCAATATGTGGGCAATTTTTCTAGTAATTAAATTCGTGAACTCAATTTAATCTAAAAACAATCTCAATCCCTGAATTGAATTTAATTAGTATTAAGTAAAGTATTTATAATTTAAAAAAATATTTTCAGCTTGTTATAAAAAAATCGTTTAATAGATATATCTACACACTGGTAAAATTTCATTTTATATTAAATATATTTAACTATAGGGCAACTGCTAAATTCTGAAATGGCAAAAACACCAATAATTTATTCCCAAAATTAATAATAAATTTTCACTGGTCCGCATCTGGATAACTAACGATTAAATAAGAATATGAGTTGTCCTTTTCCAACGAATTTAGATGATATATTTAAAATTGAAATCTGAAATTAAACCGCTTTTAGAAATTTCTATTTTAGACTGCATAAATTAAGTGCTTTTTAAATGAAAATGCTTTAAAATACTTAACCTGCCCTGCACATCTGAATACATTTTGAAAACACATCTTTAAACCATCTCTAAAATTTTTTAAACCATTTAGAACATTCACCTAAAGGGTAGCGCTATGGCGTTGTAACATAGGACCCCAGATTTAATAATAGTGAATCTTAAAAATTTTAGGACCGGTTATGCTCTTAGTAAATAGGGACCATGGCGCTATAACGCACATGCGATAAAATATAAAAATCTTACCTAAATTATAAATAAATGCATTTTTAAATATGCAATTTAAACGTTTTAATTGGTGATCCAGGCAAAAATGTTATTATTTCTTATTAATTTATTAATTCTGTACGTAATAGTTCGCATCTGATAACTAGTCAACACATATATTAATCACATTTTTTATTATTAGACATAAAAAGTCTCTTATTTAAATAAGATTGTTTACTTTAAAATATATATCTATATATCTATAATTTTTTATGATTCCAGACTTGTTTATGGACATTTTACAGATTCTGAAATGGCAAAAACCCTTAATAAATTTGCTCCAATTTACAAATTAAAACGTTTTTTTTAAAAAAAAATGCACTTATTAACAGTTTAAATGCATTTTTGAATATGCGATTTGAGTGTTTTTAAACATCTTAAGTATAGGATTTTATAAAATGATGCTATGGCGCTGAAAATATAACCTCAAAAATCTTGAACTTAGTAAATGGTAACCACGGTGCTATAACACATATGCGATAAATATAAATGCTTAAAAATGTTTTAAAAACACTTTTAAATTGTACTTTGAAAAATAAAATGTTTTGAAGAGCTTAAACAACGCAGTCTAAAAAATAGTGTTTTTTTACGAAATGCACGACAATGTATCATACATGGTTCATGAGTTATGGTATTGATCTCTAATAAAAACCAATTAGAATTGGTGCTATGAGTAAGATTTTAACAAAATCTGGTTTAAATGCCAATTCAGCCACCAATTTAACTGCGACTTTAAGACTAGGTTTATTTTCAAAGACTTGGTCTGATGATGGCTCAATGGTTTTTATTTTCTTAAGGACCAGATTTTTTTGCCAGCACTGCAAGGGTCTCCAAAAATGATTTTGATTTGGACACCATAATGTTGAATTCTTAGTGTGCAGCTGATACATTTAAATTAACTCTTATAAGTATGAATATAATATAGAGTTTCAACCAATTGAAATAATCAATATCAATATTTTTTTTAATTAAAATATAAAGTTTAAAAGCTAAATAACTGCATTTTACCTTGGTGTGTATAATCAAGCAGCATTTTCGCCACTAAGGTAATGTCAACAAGGACAAAAAATTAATGATTATGCTATCGCTATTGGCGAAATTCATGTAGTAAAATACTGTATACGCGCATAATTGTTTATTTTTTAACCGTCTCATACGATTAATAAATTGCTGCCAAGCATTACACAGTTATCGTTATAGTAAAACACACACCTAGATACACTATATGATGACGAATCGACCTACCGCTACGACAAAACAAAATGACGATAACGATAAGAGAAGTAACATAGGAAGTAAATATTGGGGGAAGGGAACACTCAATTATCTCACTTTCCACGTGTTAATATTATATGTATTGGCTATTTATAAATCTCAGCAAGGGGGGAGGATGGGTCAAAATTAGATTGGTTTTTATAATCATGCTATTTTATTTTTAGTTAGACTCATGATAGCGGTTTCTTTAAAGATAGGTTATGCATTTTCGATTAAGAACTTTCTGCAGATTAACGTTAAGTTATAGAATGTGAATTATTGCCGAATTCCAGAGTACAGCATAAGATTTAAAACTACTGTTGAAGAAGAAAAAAATGTATTGAAGAGAATTTCCATATTGCTTTCGGCATCTTTTACATATTTTTACATCTTTCACTCGTACTATTAAGTGGCGTATATTATTTTGTCAGAAACGACGTTTAATACAATCTCCTTGTTATATTGTGATATTAACTATTTAGGTTACTGATTTAAGATTTTACTTTGTGTTTGTTAAAATTTTTCTTCGATAGTTAGAGTTATGTACGTATGTGAAAATCGCCAGAATGCCCAATAAGGTGAAGACTCCGAATGAGAGTCAGACTTCTATCAATTATTCCAAGTGCACACGCACGCACATTGAATATCACATTGAACATGTACAGGCTAATTGATTGGTGCACCATTTTTTTGCCATTCACTTCTATGAGAAAAGACGTACGTACGTACGTATGTACATGTTATGTATATCATTATATTATCAAGGATAACGATAACGAAAAAAAATCTTTTGGTTACATTTGCCACACATACTTGAACATTTGTCATCAAGACTTGTAAGGCTCTTTATAACGACAGTTATAGTTTTTTCCCAATACATGTGCATGTATATCGGCATAAATAGCCTGACGGTATGGTGTACCGACTCGACTAGGTGCTAGGAAACCTAATGCAAATTGCACAACATACTACATGTAATACCGCTAGGTCAAAGAATAAACCTATTATCATCGGATAATTTATTAAAGTTTACTACATGTATATGTACCGGTACATGTAAAAATTGAGGGTGGTACATGTAATTAGAAAAGAACTGTACTGTATTACAGAATACGTCACAAGAAATATACCTAATTTAATTTCAGAAAAGATACATGTACATGTATAAAGTACTTTATTGAATAAATCTTTATTAGCGTTAGATCAAATATGAAGTTATTGCCCAAACTTTATTGATAACCGTATGATGTGCGTTGCATAAATTAAAGCCACAACAATAGTGGTATCGGTATCCATAACTGTAACAGAATAATCTTGATATTTAAATTTGTGTCTTTTGTACAAACATTCTCGGATCCCCGATAATCTTTCTTTTATCACAACAATATCATTTTATCAAAGTTTCAACTCTAATAATACGTCTTTAAGAAGCAATTGTTTGGCTCATAGTAGTAACAGTTGTAAAACAATCAAGCTAACAATGGCAATTAAATTGAAAAAGGAAAATTGCAGCTTTACAACTTGCCTATGTGACCACTAGAAAAGCGCCAATTCATGCATAAAATATAAACATGGTATATAATTGGAATAATTGCCGAGAATTAAGGTTTCGGCGAGCCTTAAAAAGTTCGCAACTTTAAGCTAATGATGAGTTAATATGAAGTATTAACCTGGTACACTTTACTCCTGTTAACCAGATATGCTGGGCTGAACGTTTCCAATTTAACAAGAGTTCCGGTTTAATGAGAAATCTGATTGATAGAATATTTTTAGTCCTGGAATATTTGTCCGGTGACGTGTATAGATATCGCTTGCCATTTTGACAAAGATTTTTTACATTATTCAAAATGAAAAATGATTCCGATATGATGCCATTTATTCTATATGCGTAAAACCTAAATTCTAAATAATGAAGTTTTCCTTTTTCAAAAAAATCTTTTGTCTACTAACCAGATTCATAAAAGATTTATCTTTGTTCAAACAATACCGACAACGGGAATTTAGAAGCTTTATTGTGCGAACACAAAGTTTATCAGTAGAATTTCCAATTTCCGTTATATAAATAACACGGTAAAATTCTTTCCGAGATATTTGATCCCTTACGTCAGGGTTACATCTTATAATGACACTAAATGCACCAGAAATCATAAAATTTGGTTCGCTAGTTCTTAAATATTTTTCATACACGTGAGACGTGTATGCAATGAGTTGCATTCAATTAAAAATCGAGTATAGTTATGGTCAGATATAATTTCCGACAATGCATTATATAATTTCCGATATTGATATACTGTACATTTAAACAATCCGACACATCAAAAACGTAGATTTTAACAAATTCTCCTTACTACCACACACTCTCACAAAACGTATAAACGCCTCTATAGTATAACAAAAAATGTCTGCAGTTGATAGTAATAATAATAACGTCAATAATAATAATAGACCAGAAAGAAACAGTTTTCAAAGACAATCAATGAAAATTGCATCAAAAAGTAAAAATTTTTATCTAATTTTAAAAAGAAAAGTTGTTCGATCAGGAAAAGCTAAGAATCAGCTCTTTCTAAATAACGAGAGCACATCCGTTGAAATCAAAACTCCTAACAAGAATAAAACACACCAAAAAGAATTCACATCCGACAAAAGAACCTCAATCAATCTTCAGAGTTTCAGGGAAGTTTCTTCTTCAAAGGCACGACTTAATGTAAAAATCATCCAATGCACAAATAGACTTCTTTGCGAAGTTGAAATCGACACTTGGAACTATTTCTTTACTGATCCAAGAGAAGCCGCAAGGCATTCATTTGATGCTGGAAGTAATACAGAACGGGTCGGTTGTGGAGATATTTCAATGTCACCCTATGACATTGCTTGGGTAGCAATGATTCCAGTGCCACTCTATAAAAAAACTAAGCATTCAAAAGATTTTAGACTTGCTTTCCCTGAATGCCTCGCTTGGCTCTTAAGTTCTCAAGACGAGAGTGGTAGTTGGGCACGTACCGGAGCTGTCAGCATTGCTCCTGTTCTTTCGGGTCTATGGAGTTTAGGAATGTTTGAAAGTCGCGCAGGTTTGTATTTCGAAGAAAGATTACGAGAAATAGGTTTCACTTTGGTAAGCTTTTACTTAAAACGTTATTAGTACATGATTGGCTGTGATTGAATACTAATTAATTAATTATTGTTATATTTTTCTCCTTCAGGAACATTTTAATACTATATTTGAAAAAGGAATCTTCTTCATGCGACATACGCTAAATGAATGGAACATTGATGATATTGATATGAAAGGATTCGAAATTGTGACTCCATTTCTTATATCACAATTGGAGAAACTCAATCCTCCGATCTTTTTTGATTTCCCTGATAAGGAGCGATACCTAAAAGAAAATAAGCGGAAAATAAATTTAATTCCAATCGAAGCAATCTTCAAACTAGCTTCAGCGCGTCAACCACTTGCAATTATTCATTCACTTGAAGCGCTCATTGGAGTTATCGACCTTTCTCGCGTTCAAAATCCCAGATTTCAAGCGATAAATGGAAGCTATGGATCGCCAGCAGCAACAGCGGCAGTATTAATTGATGCACCGAAATGGGATGATAAAGCGTATGAATTCTTACGAAAAATTATTTCAAGACGTTCCAAACACGTGTCAACATTGTGTGAGACACGTTGGGTGATTCATTGTGTCAGCGAAATGGTATTGAACATTATTCGTGAACCAAGAACCGATTTAGATCATCCACTCTTAGAAGAAATGTCGGCTAATCTTCGATGCCTTGTTGAATATATGAAAGAGTTGCTTATACAAAAAAAAGATATAATGCGATGGGTCGGTTGGAATAATCGCATTCCAGCAGATGTCGATAACACTGCAGTATTAAATTATCTCGTTACAAAATTTGATCCCAGCTACTCAATTGATATTAAAGTAATTTTAGAAACATATTGGAATGGAAAATGTTTTCTGAGGTTTCCTCGTGAGTGTACATTTTCGGTCAGTTCCAATGTTCATGTTGTTACTCTGTTGCTGAGTGCACGCGAAAAGGTAAAGAACCAATCAACCACCGAGGAAAACATCGAGGAATGGACGAATATCGATAATATCATATGTTCAACAATCAACTTTATTTTATCAAAACAAAATGAGAATCAAGTTTGGATTGATGAATGGAATGTGAGTCCATGGTATACAACAATGAAATCAATTCAACTTTTACTCAGTCTTCAAAATTATTTAGACATTTTGCAATCGACTGAAATACAAACAAAACAAAGTCTATTTGACCATTGTCGCAAATCGATCAACTATGCATTATCAGTACAACATTCGGATGGAAGTTGGGGTGAGCCATCAGCCGATACGATTGGAAATATGGAAGAAACAAGTCTCGTGGTGAGATTATTACGCGTCGCAGCCGAAAATTGGCCAAATGATATCCAGATTAAAGGTGCAATCGAAAAAGGTCGCACTTATTTATTGAAACATTTCGACGAAGCAATGACCGATACTAATTACTTTTATAATAAACAACCCTTTTTATGGTTCGACAAACAACTTTATACTGTACCGAGAATACTCAAAGCTTCAATATTGGCAGCACTTTGGGACAATTTAAATTCACAGTGACCCTTTGAATTTATCTTGCAAATTCATGTGATTATCAAGTTAAATATTGCGCATTTTATTTTGGGAATGGAATTTTTTATATCTAGTATTTATCATTATTATCATGTTTATAATGTACAATTTAATAACATTTTTTTATGATTACTGCTATGATGTCGTTGTTTTTGATTGACCAAATAAAACAAATGCTATTTGTGAAAAATAGCTTATATTTCGAAAGTTTGCCTATGGAATTACCTTTTGTGTTCTAACAAAAATACGTTCCTTGCGAAATTTGATGTTCCCTGATGAAACTTTAATCACCGAACCATTTCGAAATTAAGCATCCTTTTTTGCTATGAGGGTGTGCGAATTTTCGATACATTCAATAGAAAAGTTAAATGATCGTCTGATTTGACTGAGTCTAATACCCTAGCCACGGCAAAAAAAGAGCCGGTCACGTGAGGTTGGTCAGATCCAACCAATAAGAATGCGCAAAAATTATGCGCAACCAATAGGAATGTAGCAAATTTTTGATCAACCCGGAAAAACAAATCCGGCACAAGAAAAATAAGAAAAGACAAAAAAATGCGAAAATATCAAAAACAGATAGCTAAATCTAGCTTGTCACACTATCAAAAAATGTCGAGAAGACAATTTTTTACATAATCCTAATCTCAGCTCTAACCCTAACCCTAATACTTGATATCTAATATCAATCGGATATTTTAATGGACCTATTTTAGATCACGTGACCGGAAGTTTTTTGCCGTGTTTTGCATACGTACATGTATAAAACTTGTTTTTAAAACCCTTGGTTCACACAACATGCCGTCACAAGACAAACGTAAAAAAGAGTTGTTAGATGTAAAAAAAGTTGTCAAACATAATCGCAATTCATATTCTATTAACATGCCGTCACTTATGCTATGGACGAAATAAAATGGCAAGTTATGATCGGTCGTTGGGTTAATGCAAGTGTGAGATGGATAACCAAAATGTAAAGCTCTGTTCGGGTCGGATCGAATTTGAGGTCAACCCGAACCGATAATTTAGGATTCGGATCGGGTTTGATCCGAAAATCGTAAAATAGTTTTTCGTTAATAGCTTTTATTTTTACTAAGACACTTGCATTTTGAGTCTAAGTAGAGTTGTTCGGAATGTAATTGTGTATATGCCCACAAATTTTCGTTTAATTTCATTAATATGGAACGAAAAATAACGTTTTTTAGGCTGACCCGAATTATTTCGGGTCGGGTTTGACCCCAATCCGACCCGAAATGTGTGTTCCGAGTCAGGTCACGGATTGGACCCGACCCGGTTGGAGCACTATCGAAATGAACCAAAACAACAAACAAGTTGGTCGAAAAGTTTTTACCCTGAATCTGAATCCATATGATTGGATCATTGAGCAAAGAAACAGGGATTAGGTGTTATTGTTATACAATCACGCGAGTTAAGATGATGAATAGTTTAAAGGAACCTGATGTTTATTCAGCAAAAGATTTTAAAACATCAGCTCGTTGAATGTTTGCATGTATGAAAAGTTATAAACTTTCTTGACAACAACGTAAAATCTCACAAGCTTTCTTCACAAACTAACGAATTATTAAAAAAAAAACTTTCATCAATTTATTATTCGCTTTAGAACCGAAAAGACTTTCGAATTATCCAACATTCTCAACATGGATGAAACTTCTGTCTGGTTCGACATGACAGGACTTTATTATGGATCAGATAGGTAAAAAACAATCCCTATTTGTGGAATTGGCAATAAAAAACTGATTTAACAAAAAATTTTCAATAGAAAGCTCAGGGAAAAAATTATACTAGACTTTTATTTTGATACTATTTTGCAACAAGCATATTCTTTTTATAGTATATTAGTATGTTTCTTTGATTGAATTATAACATTATGACTATAAAAAACTTAATTTTTTGTAAGTAATAATCATAATATAATAATTTAGATTATGTTAATTATAGAATAAAACAATATAATTATATGATTAATCAAAATATATACTTTTATATCAACTTTATTAAGCTGAATGGTCTAGTGAAGGTAAAGATATTGAAAGATAAAAGAAGTTTCTGACACAATTAAGTTTCCAAAGTAGATCCTGACTACTTTAAAGATTTAAGTATCATGGAATAACTAAAAATTCAGCTACAAATAGTGATGGTAATAATTTATGTAAAAAAAAAATGGCAATATACAGTAAAACTTGATACGTATAAAACTCGATATAACGGATTGAGGTTCAGAGCGGATTATAATAAATCCTTCTCAATATAACGGATTCTTAAAAATTTTCACTAATGAAACAGATGATTCTTTTATGTCGAATTTCATTGTGCATATTAATCCCAACTACAAAAAAATTGACTTGGAAATATAAGTTAAGAGGATCCTGTAAATAATCGCGAAGTTTGCGGAGTACTTTCTTATATTAGACCAGAGGTTTAAATTGAAAGCCATACACTAAATTGACAGATACTTATGGTTTATGTACGCGATCGTAACAGATTTAGTAAACGAAGCCATGTCATGGCAATGATCTCGTATTAGACATTTATAAAGGATTACGACCTACACACCCTACAATATATTACCGGGAATTTCAAAAATGAATTTGTCACTTTGGAGCCCGATATCTCGACATCCAGTGATCACATTCGAACAAAGGTATCGCCATTAGATTCGTATAGTCGAGATGAATATAATGGTGATGATATCTTTGTTCGAATGTGATCACTGGATGTCGAGATATCGGGCTCAAAAGTGACAAATTCATTTTTGAAATTTTCGGTAATATATTGTAGGGTGTGTAGTTACCAAATAGTATTCCTAGACGTGATAAATTCTAGTGCTCCGCATGGGCCGGTTCGGTTCGGTTCGAGTTGACCTGAAACGAAAATAAAATAAAATATATTTTTGGACCATGAAAAATCCATTTTACTAATAAAACCTCTATTCACGTAATAATTAAACCTGTTCGCCATATATAATTCTATTATATGAAAAAGTTTTATGCGATTGGATGCAAATGAGTATTTTACGAGCTTCAAAAGATCGTTTGTAAATTTTGAACGAGAAATTGGTCACAATACCAAGTTTTAATGCATTGAATACTATTAATAAAAAATATTTATGCACGTTTACATGATATCTCTTGTGAGCTAATGCGTAAAATTTGAAAGTATCTATAATAGAGTCTCACAAAAATTTTTAATTATAAGTGTTCATCATGTTAAAACTTAGCAGTGTGACTAATTTTTTATTCGAATTTAATATTTCACATGATTTGATTTAAATAATATTTAATTAAATGATATCATCAAATTAAATTAAATGACATCATCATTAAATTAACTTTACTTAATTAGATGATGATAAGATTTATCGTTGTATATTATCTATAAAAAATAAAATAGTATTTTGGATTTATACCAACTACTATCTTATAGATTATTAAAAAAGTAACTCAAAACTAATTATTAACTTACGATTTTATGGGTTTAATCTTACTATATATATAATTATCGATAATCTAAAATAAAACATTCTTGAGGCGAATTTTGCAACCGCATATCATACATCCAAGTCCAAATACGTTTTACGCGATAATTTGTGAATCAACACACAATTTATTTTGAAAATCTATACTTATTTAGAAATAAAATAGAACATTCTTTTTTATAATAGTATTTTGTACATTAAAACTGGTATTATGGCCGATTTCTCATTCAAAGTTCCTGAATGACCTTTAGAAGCTCATCGAATAATCATTTGCACCCGAAATCCCACAAAATTTGGCTAAATAATAGAATTATACATGGTGAACAAGTTTAATTATTACGCCAATAGAGGTTTTATTAAAAATGGACTTTTCATAGTCCAAAAATTTATTTTATTTTATTTCGTTTCAGGTTGACCAGAACCGTGCGGAGCACTGATAAATTCATTATTGAAATGTCGGAATTATATTCCAAAAAAAAAAAAACAGATCAACTGCTTTCCAACAGACAACAACAAACTGAATACTTGCATTGTCGGTACTTTAGCTCTTTAGTATATCCAAAAACACATGAAAAATTCTTGAATGTCATAAGTAGATTAATCAGAAATGGCAAAAAGACGTTCTTTGCAAATGATCCACACAATTACCGTCGTCGACATTAGTCGAATCTAATATTATTTTTTATTTAATTCAGTATCTTTTTCTTTGATGGTGTCAAAACAGATCTCGATTTTAGTACACCATTCGAAATTAAAGAGAATGAGCGACTTACAAGAAAAACTACGAATTTACGATGAATAACAACATTATTAGAACAATACCCATCGACTTTATATTTTACACTTTATTAAATTAAATTGACAATAATAATCATGTCTCTTTAGTTTATGTAAGCATTGAAGCGATATTAACTGTCGCTGTGTTGCACAACGACCAAAAACGGTTTCAGCTTCGCTATCGCTATCAAAATTTATTTGGTTTTTTGTCTAAAATCTACTTTGATGTAATTAGAATGTGCATGATCTTTCTTTTATTACGTACGTTTGCGAAATTGTCGTCATTTGCATACTATGCTTATTAATATACCAACAAATAAATTACAGTACACATTAGCGTCTGTGAACATCGATTTTAATGATATAAACGGTGTTCATAAATTTCATTCATACTAACTCGCACAATCGCGTATCTCTGTCCCATAGAATTGGACGAAATGATGATTTTATATATCATGATTATAAATTCAATCTCTTGTGACATTAAGATTAGCGGAAAAACTTAGCGTTATCGTTAAATATACGTACCACTAAATGTGATAGTCCAGTGTAACCACATGTACAAAAAAGTGTCGTATATTTTTTCGCAAAAATTTGTTCTGTAATGTACCAGCAGCAGCTTATGCCCGTAGCACAGTAAACCAGAAAAGAATTAATCGTATAAACGAAACTTGCCAAGTAATTGTCTTGATAAAAATGATGTAGAGAAAGCTTTGTTCGGTGTGAATTTAGAACCGTGTGCGGCGTTGTTTATTCTCCAAATACGTGAAATAAATTGTGATCATTTCTTTTTATAGAATATTTTGGTTCATGTGAAACAGTCGCAGTTCCTGTCTTTCAAAAACGTACAACATAAACGACCGGATTTTTCTATAAAATCGATGAAAGTGTCTTTGGTTTCGTTGAATAGCAAAAACTGGTTTTTTGTATTTTTCGAAATTATAGAAATATTTTTTTTTTATTAGACTGCAAACTACGTAAAACATGAAATTTTATAATAATTTAATCTTCGTCATTGTCATTAGTTCATTCTTATGTGATTACATGGCAGCGCAGAGTTCGAAGACTACTACTAATTCATTAAAAACTACGGTTACAACACCAACCAGTAAAACAACCACAACTATTAGCACTGCTACTAGTAGTAGCACCACTGGTGGTAATAGCACGAATGCTAATAGTAATACCAGCAATACTAGCCATACTAGTAATACTAGTAATAGCAATACGAACGAACCTACCTCCAGGTTGGTATAGATTCGATCTCACATCCGTGTGTTTTAACCTGTATTAATCGAGCTAATGACGATTTTTTAACAGTACACCAACATCCTCATCGACAATACCACAAACACAATCATCATCTTCAACAGCAACAACAACGTCAACAATGATCACGATTAATACAGGTATTCCTTAATCATAAATAAAACATTTCTCGTTTCAAACTTTCTAATGCTAATAATTTTCCGACTACGTAGTTACTCCGACAATAACAGCAACGATGACGACGAAAAGTAATTCAAAAACGTATGTTTCTCCTTTTTATTATTTTTCATCGATGCTACATTATTTGATCTAATAACATTAAAATGCCTTTTTTTTGATAGTGAGACAGCAACAGTTGTTGTTCCTGGTACCCAGAAATCTAGTGCATCAGGAATTCCTTCACTTGGTTCTTCAGATGTTATTACATTACCAGCTTATTTCCTTGAAGGATATTTGATCATTCTTTTGCTTACTTTCACGATAATGTACGAATTATGAACTATAAAACACCTCAATTCTCTTACAAAACAATCGCTGCGATAACTTGAAAATTTTTCTATATAAATCATTAATTGTAATCGATACTAGAAATAAAATGATTAGCGTCAGCGTCTAGCGGGCCGCAATTGATTTTACATGCACAAATTTGATTACACATGTTCCGTAAGTTACGTCGCGTGAAAAATTTACTTGCAAGTGTTACTTGCAGTTAACGTTAACAAAAATCTCGTGATTGAAGACAATATTTATATTTGAATAAAAATTTCAGACTTTTCAAATACGTATATAATATATACATGTATTAGAGCAACCAAACTTTTGGACCCGCAACAAAATTAAAAAATTGAATTTTAGACACCGTTTATATTTTACGAATTACTTAAAGACAACGTTGCAGTTGTGCATGAAGAACGTTGATTTTCACAATCGCTTCCAGAGAAGCTAACTTCTGGTTACTGGACATAGTAAAGTGACAATGCTGTCCAGATCACTGAAGTTCAAAAAGTTAATTCCAAAAAAGCAGCATAAAATATTAATTATTTCTTAAAATATTTAAAAAAAAGTAAAAAAAATTATATTCTTTGGAAATTTTTAATAAATAAATTATTACATTAATATTAAAAAAAATAGAAAAAAAATATATTATCAAAATAAAATTTTAAATTAAATTATTATGTAAAAAAAATTATAATAAAAAAACCGCCGGCCATTAATTTCCGGGTGACTGTATATGCAAATTTTCTTAGCGTTAGAGTAACGGATCATCAATTGGCAAGAAAAAAATAATTGACAACGCTATAAAATTGCTGCTAACAACTTTCGTAGATAATTTTAACTTATCTTTGGTCAAGAAAATATAAATAACTTTAGTTGAAGGGATTAGTAATTCAAAATAAGATATTTTATTGTTTTTATTATTATTTGATCATTGTGAGATATCTTTTCACCCTGAACAAAGAAATTTTTGATTCTTCAGTGCATATAAAAAGCAACGAGTCTCAAAATTTCGGAGATTAGAAAATGAAGTATACGTATGCAATTTTTTAAATAACATTGTGCAATACATGTATATGTAACATTTCATACGTTGCACATTATTTTGATTACAAAAAAAACAATCTGTAATACCTTGCCGAAGTTTCACGAAAAACTGGCGTTCCGTTCCTGCGAACGCTATGAACGCTATGTTGTTTTACTTCAAAAAAATGGAAAAATTTCGGTTACTCGTCGTCCTGGTCGTCCACACAAAATTTCTCCTGAGATGCGTCGCCAACTTGGAAAACTCATAAATGGAAACCATTTTCTCACAGCAGCTGAAATAAAGGCGTGAATTGAGGAAACGCACACTGGATTTGAAGCAGGTGTTCGTGACGAGATTTATAGGCTGATTATGTTACTGCTTTGCCGCGACGCATTCCTCTTCTCACTCCGCAAGCGAAAGAAAACCAATTTCAATGGGCATCCAATCACCTTGATTATAATTGGCGCAAGGTTGTGTTTTCCGATGAGACAATCTTGTCTCGTAATACCTGTCTGGTCATGCTCCGGAAAAACTCTTGCACCAATGGTGAAGCATCTGATAGGGGAGTGACAAATATTAATATACATTTTATTATAGTGATCCCTCCTGAGATTTCATTTAATACATGTACGTGAAATTATATCAATACCTGAGATTTGGCCATCCCCTCCCCCGCTAATATTTGTCACTCCCTTAAAGCGTCACGTGTGGTGAGCGATTTTTGCACGTGGCAAAGTCGGGATAGGCTCTTTACACAAAATATGGCTCGGCATCTGTATCGGGAAATTATTGATAACAATGTATGGTCGTTGGCGCTGCAAGATAACGATCCGAAGCATACCTCAAACGACGTTAAACATGATCTCGAAGTCCGACTACCCGACCGCGTTCTCGTGGCCGCGTACAGCTATCTTTAATCCGATCGAAAATTTTTGAAACGAAATTTGGAAAAAAAGAAAAGAAGGATGTCACTGTAGGGTTTGTTGCGTTAGCTGAGGATGTGTGAGAGGATCTTCCAGAAGAGGTGGTTCTTAACTGTATTAGTAGTATGCCGAACCGCGTTCAATCTTAAAGGAGGGCATATCAAGTATTGATTTTTTATATGGGCATGTTGCCCGTTAAAGGCATTCCGGACGTAATTATTTATTTGGCGTTTATTAATAAAAATTTGGCTGCCATTATTTTCCGTGCTGACTGCATTATTCACTTTAATATAGTATTTAGAACAGATAAACTGAAGTTGAATTGATACGGACGAAACGTTGCAAGTTAAACCTCAGCGACAAAAAAGTCGTCCAAATCATAAAGCTTTTATTCTTTCCTTCAGAAAAATATTTGTTGATTATTGTCATTAAATAATTTAAATGTCGATATGATAGAAAGGATTGACTTTATTAATAATTAAACTTATCATTATCGTTATTTTTTCAAAAATAGAGGATTAGCTCAAATGCTGCACAACATGTCGACGATTCCAAAGGGATTGATAAAATGATGTTTTAACAGATAAAATTACATTAAATGGCCAAAGATTGTCAATTAAAGCCTGCTTATAGAAGAGTTTAGACACCGTTTATATTTTATGAATCAATTAAAGACAACAGTGCCAGTTTGGCATGTAGAACGTTGATTTTCACAATCGCCTCCAGAGAAGCTACGATCTCCCGAATTAAATTGGTTGAAACATTGGTTTTTCTAATAGTAAGAAAATGTGTGAATTAGTGGAAATAAGATAAAATAACTTTAAAATAAAAATGCTAATATTCTTACCTGGACGTCACATGCACGTTGAATGGCATTATTCAGTTGCAAAAATCTGTCTCCATTCACCGAGGGATTACCATCTGCGTTCTATTAAGAATTAAATGATTTGTAATATTATTATAATGGTAAACTTTATAAAAATTAGTACAGATATGTTCACAATAAATGCTACTTACCACCACAATTTCGGGTGGTGCAATATTTCCTAATGGAGCAGTAAATGCCGTATTGTCAACGGTAATTATTGTACCTGGAGTAGTAGCATCTTTTGGGTTAGCTGGATCAGCTGGATCAGCTGGTGGATCAGCTGGTTCAGCTGGTGGATCAGCTGGATCAGCTGGTGGGTTAGCTGGATCAGCTGGTGGGTCAGCTGGATCAGCTGGTGGGTCAGCTGGATCAGCTGGTGGATCAGCTGGATCAGCTGGTGGATCAGCTGGATCAGCTGGTGGATCAGCTGGATCAGCTGGTGGATCAGCTGGTGGTGAGCCAGTTGGATCTTGTGCTTGTACCAAACCATTTAATTCCGAATTTCTTGGAGGTCTAATAATAATAATTAGTATTTAATGAATTAGTTAATTTCCAATTAAATGCATAAATAAATGAAGAGAAATTTACTTAGTGCATAGTTCGGATGGTTGTCCAACATTTGGAGTATTCCTCTCAAGTGTACGATAATCTTTGGCTACTTCGATCAAGTCTTTTTCTTTTTGTTTACTATCTGATTTGCCTTGAAGTCCAATTTGTCTTGCAATATCAATTGTTTGGTCTGCTACATCTTGCTGATCGCATGCTGGCGCTTTTGCTAGTAAAGCTCTAACAGCAGCACCAGATAGATCGCCAAGCTGTGCTTCGAATCCAGTACCTTGAGCGATATCTTTCATTTTTTGGAAATCACCGTCAGCACGTGCCGTATGTTCTTGTCCAAACCTTCTTTTTGTAAGTTCGATTGGTGCAGCCAATGTTACCGTTGCAATGGCAAAGGTGATTGTCATAATAGTTATAAATTTCATTTTCGCTGAATCGTTAAAGTTTAAAATTGTAAAATGCCTTTTTTGTTACAATGAGTCTAGCTCAAAATTTTTTATGTAGTTTTTTGAGAGGTTTTTGAGAGATTTTTTATATCGAGAAATAATGAACAAACCAGTTGTTCGTTTTTAAATTGTTATAAAAGAAATTGAACTTGCGTTAATTTTTTCTTTGCGCTAATTTTTCTTGAATTTATAGATTTTTGATAATCGACAAACAATTAAACACAAATTAACACACTAAAAGACACAAAAGGAAACAATTTCGTCTAATCTTTTTTTATCTTATTATAATCATCTCTTACTCCGACTTCAATTAATTAAAAGCAAAACCACGATCATGGTTTGGTAATTTACCATATTGATGATTCGTTCATCACATATTTTTAATTAATGTTAATAAATCATATTTCAATTGATTATCTTTTAATTAATAAATCATATTTCAATTGATTATCTTTTAATTAATAAATCATATTTTTTGACTTTTAAGAGTCAGAAAATATGCACGAGTTACAATTATACTATAAAGAAATACGTTATTGCAATCAAAAAAATTAATTGCATCATACAAGCCGAAAAGATAATGGTTTTATTGAAACCTTGTGGGTTTCCCCTAAATTAACCGGATTTTCTAATCAACCTATAGGAAAAATACGGATATATGCTCTTGATATCGATACGTATATCCGTAAAAGGTTACTTTTTACATGTAAAAGTCGGTTTGTCCTACATTTTACTACCAAACAGCGCCCGAAAAATTCGGCACAAACCAATAAAAGTTTGATCTGCGGGATTTCATGGGAAGACTTTCATATGATTGGCTGATGTAAATCAATTGTCCAGGTAACTTATTTATATACTTTAAAAACTTTTTGAAAACGTCACGTTTCACTAATAAAAATCACCGTAAAAACCATTTCTAGCTTTAATATTCACTATGCAAAAGAATCTCCAAAGAATCCAAAACCTGACATACTTTACTTAGAAGGCAAAAAATTTTACTATTTACTACCATTACAACCCTTGACCTATATTATAATTAAACAACACCACTTGTATTTATTCACATTTATACATTACCC